TTGTTATTCGCCTACTGACTGTCCTCAGTTAACCAAATGGATTCCTACAAACTGCTTGGGAGGATCAAAAAGCACTGTTTCTTTTCTGTCCCCTTCATAAAATCAAAACTTACCATTGCTCTGGTGAAATCGTGATCGAAATCGGGAGATCAAATCAATATGAGTTGATAAATCACGAAAAATATGTTTGTGGGGTGCAAAACTCCAAGGAGTCATCTTGAAAAGAAAGTGCTGAGCATGTTTTGCTAAGTTTATTCTATGGAATGGCTAATCCTGCAATTATGACGTTCACATCACGCCGTTGGATGCATCATTTCTGAACGCGTTCCGTCCCATGAATGATTGATCTATCACAGTCCCATAGAAAATGCACTATATGCAACCTTCCATCTTTACGATCTAGGTCCGTGTGCACAGTGCAACGTTTCATCAACCAACACAAAAACACAGACCGGCCTGGTTGCTTTCGAACTAAAATCCAATTTTGGTCTGGATTTAACAGCCAGTCCGGATAGCCCAAATGCGTCTAGCGTCTAAATGACAACCCCTCATGTCCGTGGGATTCGGCGAATAACAAGGACTTAACAGCAGCCATACAGTAATTCCAAGTTACTTCAGCGATGATAAACACACTGATTCTGCAGAATGAATATATCTTCGTGCAACGTGTAAAAATAAGGATTTAGTTTTGTTTTGGCCTTCGGATAAGCGTGTGAGTATTCTGCACGTTATTTTTCGTATATTCATAGATTGTGCAGCTCCTATGGTTTGCCGTGCCCCCAGTCAATTGTCTTTCGATCTGCGTAACAACGATTATTCCGTTTTACTCCAAGCACTCAAAGCTTTGCCACACGCAAATGTGACTAATGTAGTTACCTGGCTTTGGCTACGAAACATCTGCTACCAACAGTTCTGGGTTCGGAAAACCCATCAACATCCGCATCCGCATCCGCATCCACAGCTACAATCATTTCAGAATACATTCTGTCTTTTAAATGTCTGGCACAGAGGCGCCCGGTTGCGTTTATTATTATTTTTTATTTGTTTCACACAAACCCTGAGATGATGTTCAATGTTCAATGTTCAATGTTCTTCAATTAGAGGCAGAGGGTAATTTCCCGTATGAGCCTCATCACCACAGACTCGAAGATCTCATTCATGATAGATTTGCATACCACATTGTT